TGATGTTCTATCTTTTGGTGGAAAGAAATATTTTATTACTTTTATTGATGATTTTTCACGTTATGAGTATGTCTACTTATTGCATCAAAAAACTTAAGCTATAGATGACTTAAAGGTGTTTATAACTGAGGTTGAGAGACAATTTGACAGTAAAGTGAAAATTATTAGGTCTGATAGAGACGATGAATATTATGGAAGTTATAATGAATCTGAAAAATGTCGAGGTCCATTTGTTAAATTCCTTCAAACTAATGACATATGTGCTTAATACACTATGCCACAAACACTACAACAAAATGGTGTTGCAGAAAGGCGAAACCGTACTCTAATGGAAATGTTAGGAGTATGATAAGTAGTTCTTCTTTAACCTCATCATTATGGATGCAGCCTTAAAGACTGCTGCATATTTGTTAAACAAGATTCCTAGTAATGCAGTTCTAGAGAATCCTTTTGAATTGTGGATAGGACGAAAACCTAGTTTAGGAGACATCTATGTTTGGGGTTGTCCGATAAAAATAAAGATATATAATCCACATGAAAAGAAACTGGAATCAAGAACAATCAGTGGTTTCTTCATTGGTTATCCAGAAAAATCTAAAGAGTATAAATTTTATTGTCCTAACCATAGTACATGAATTATTGAAGCTGGAAATGCCAAGTTCATTGAAAATGTTGAAGTTGGTGGAGTTTGGAACCACCTTAAGTGGAGATCCAAGAAATTAGGGTTCAAATTTCTTTACCCAAAATTTCTTCTCAAGTTGTTATTCCTACAGTTGTTGAACAATTTGACAACTTACAGAAACAACAAATAAATGATCAAACACCCCACAATGAAACTGTCACTAATGAACCTGCATTAGATGAACCACATGAAGTAGCACCTAGAAAGTCTCAACGACAAAAATGGTCTGCTATTTCTGATGATTATGTGGTTTATCGACACAAATCTGAATTTGACTTGGGAGTCAATGAAGATCCAGTTTCATTTTCATAAGCCATAAGAAGTGCAAATTCTTCTAAATTGTTATATGCAACGAAAGATGAGTTGAAATCGATGGATCACAACAAAGTCTGGGATGTCGTTGAATTGCCTGAAGGTTATAAAAGAGTCGAGTGAAAATGGGTCTTTAAGACTAAGTGTGACTCGAATGACAATATTGAACGATATAAAGCCACTTTTTGCTAAAGGTTTCACTCAAAAAGATGAAATTGACTACAAATAAACTTTTTCTTTGGTCTCTAAGAAGGATTCATTTAGAATTATCATGACACTAGAAGCTCATTATGATTTAGAGTTACACCAAATGAATGTGAAAACTGCCTTTCTGAATGAGAATTTAGATGAAGAGGTATACATGAGTCAGCCTGAAAGATTTTTAGTTGAAGGAAAGGAACACATGGTGTGTAACTTAAGAAATCAATATACAGACTTAATTAAGCTTCCCGGCAATGGTATCTTAAGTTCAATGATACCATCATGCTCTTTGGATTTAAAGAAAACACTGTTGATCGGTGTATATGTCTAAAGTTCAGTGGGAGCAAAATCATATTTCTCATTCTGTATGTTGATGACATCTTGCTGGCTACTAATGATCTTGGCTTATTACATGAAACTAAGAATTTCCTCTCTAAGAACTTTGAAATGAAAGATATGAGTGGGGCATCCTATGTGATTGGAATTGAAATATTTAATTGAAATATTTCGTGGGAATTGAAATATTTCGTGATAGATCACAAGGATTGTTAGGGTCGTCTCATAAAATATATGTCGAAAGAGTTCTTAAGAGATTCAATATGGAAGGATGCTTAACAAGTGTTGCTCCATGACAAAAAGAAGATAAATTCAGCCTTATGCAGTGTCCAAAGAATGATTTGGAACATAAATAAATGAAAGAAATTCTTTATGCATCTATTGTTGCAAGCTTAATGTATGCTTAGACTTGTACCAGACCAGACATTAGGTTTGTTGTCGGGATGCTGGGTAGGTATCAAAGTAATGTAGGAATAAATCATTGGACAACTACAAAGAAAGTTTTAAGGTATCCACAAGGAAGAAAGGACCACATGCTCACTTATAGAAGATCTAAAGATCTTGAAGTGATATGATATGTAGATTCAGATTTTGCTGGATGTGTTGATACCATAAAATCAACATTTTGTTATCTGTTCCTTTTGGTTGAAGGACCAATCTGCAAAGCAGACTATCACAACTGCTTCCACTATGAAAGCTTAATTTGTGGCTTACTTTGAAGCTACAACTCAGGGTTTATGGTTACAGAATTTTATTTTAGGACTTGAAATTGTCGACAGTATTGTCAAGCCTCTTAAAATTTATTGTCATAACTCCGCAACAGTATTCTTTTCCAAAAAACAACAAGTATTCCAAAAGTGCTAAACACATGGAATCAAAATACTTTACCGTTAAGGAAGAAGTTCAAAAACATAGGGTGTCAATTGAGCATATTAGCTCCAATCTCATTATTACAGATCCTTTGATGAAAGGGTTGCTACCAAAGACATTTAACGAACAAATCGTGAGAATGGACATTACCAAAACCCTTTATTAGTTTTATGTTCTTTGTATTTTAACAATTTAAACTCAATTTTTCTTGTTTCTGATATTTATAAATCTTATTTTTATCGTTAGTGTGCACTTTATGTTGCTTGATGTTCAACAAGATTTGTCTTTTAGTAGACATTATGCGACCATGATGTTAATTCTCATTATGCTAAGTATGTAATTGATATTGTGATACATGGAAGAGATTGTGTCGATAAATTGATGCATAACCGCCATGATTCATATTGATTTCATACTTGTTAAATAATCTATGATTTAACCAATATATAGAAGAATTTATGTTACACTTTGTGCTGTATGTTATGAACTATTAAATTAAGTGAGCTAAGTGAGAGAATGTAAAATTTTTATTTGTGGCTCACATTTATTTTAATAACTTATGATAACTTCTAATATTTATTTTTGTGACTCATGATAACTTAAGTCATTTATTTTTTTAACTCATAACTTATGTTACAACTTATGATAACTTATGGTATTTATTTTTGTAACTTATGATAACTTAAATTATTTTTTTTTTAACTCATAACTTATGTCACAACTTATGATAACTTATGATATTTATTTTTGGAACTCATGTTAACTTAAGTTATTTATTTCTTAACTCATACTTATGTCATAACTTATGATAACTTATGATATTTATTTTTATAACTCATGTAATCCCTAAAATGAATAGGAGTTTCTAAGTTATGTCATTGACTTTATTAATAAAAATTAACTAATTTATTAAATTATCTTAAATCCTATTGGTTAGTAACCCTCTTGATGGATGGTGGTTAAATAGCACTTTAAATAGAACATAATTAGAGAATGAGTCATCTCTCTTCCTAATACACCTCATACATTTTTCTCCATCAGCAAGTACAAAAAGTTTCATGGGATTAAAGAGAGAAACTCCATCTCTTCAAGATCAAATTTCTTCAATATCAAATTTTATAATCATGAATACATGCATGTGTTACTTTATTAGATATGTAAAAATCATAAATTTGGCTATTATGTATTTTTAGAATTTGTGTCATAAATGTTAAACATGAATTTCTAACAAAAGACTCGCTCAGATTGGGTGAGGGTTGAGGATTGCGTGACATCAATGTAAGTAGGTGTTCGGTCTTCGTGCTTTGTGGAAGAGGAGCGACAAACTCATTGAAAGGAAAAACATGCCAATACAAGTAACACTCGAATAATACCATAATAATTTTCGAAAAACATATCAATAACATCGCAATAACATCGGGTTGCCACAAGTATCACTCCAATACTACCACAACAATACTCAAGTAATACATCAATAATACCGCGGGTTACCTTAAGATATTTATTATCTGAGATCTGATCTGTATGTAAAATAAATATTTGAAAACTTTATTATACATAATCATAAATTTATATATGATAAATTATGATTAATTAAAACAATTTAAATAACAAAATCATAATATTTTAAATAATTAAGTTCCATTAATTATAATATATAACAAATTATTACTAATAATATATTATATTAGTTTATTATTTATATTTACATACATACCACCCAATGTTTTTCGTCTGACTTGGCCCTTCACTCCGATGTTTTGGTGAATAACATGTTATCTGAGACAGCTGTGTTATTTGGGTGTTTTTGGTGGCGATAATATCGCGATAACACAATTGCCGTAAATAACATGCTGTTCTTTAAAACATCGAGCTTAAACATTGAATGGTATGTACTAATATATTTATTTGTATAAGTAATGGACTAATAGTAATATATTATTATAATTAGTTATATATTATATTTTATAGGTTTTCATTTTTTAACGTAAGATAATTTTGCCATTTAAATTTGTTTAATTAATCATATTTCATAATTTACTATTTATCTATTTTTTGAAGGAGTTGACGGGATTAAAAAATCTGGATGCGCTTTCAGAAATGTATTTTTTTTTTAGGTTATTTTGCGTGGTCTCGGAAAGGATCGCGGCACGAGGAAACGCGGAGGGAACGGTGAAGGAGAGGACGGTGTGAAAGCGGCGGCGGAGACAAGAGCTTCTGCTACTTGGTCGCCCGCATACAGAGAAGGACGGCGAGGGCTTCGACGGGCTTGATAGCCTGTGAGGCACGGAGGAACGTGTGTGAGGCAGGAAAAAGTGGAAAGTTTCGAAGGTATCCGTATGCCGCGATTCTGCTGTTGCTTTTCCCCCGGTTTGCTTTGGGTTTTGAGTTGTGAACAGTAGTGGAGAAGGAGACGGGAATGAGAGCAGTGTGCGTGAGTGCTTTGAACAGAAGTGGACGAAGTGGAGACGAGAGCGTATTTCTGAAGGCTTCGGTGGTTTCGAATAGGGAGAAGAGCGGCGGTTTCGAATAGGGAGAAGAGAGACGGTTTCGAACAGGGAGAAGAGCGG